TCATGAACCCGTGAAGCGCTACGGGTCATGGGAACTATTGGGCAAGTTTGAAAAGGGGCAGTGAGATACGGTATCTAAAAAAGATAGCGTCCTCAATATATTTGTTGTAATCCTAACTCTATGGATCCAATTTCCATCAAATCCTTTTAGATATATTTAAATTTGTTTTAATTATCTTTCATATAATTAAAATGAAATTTTTGACCTCTCAGGGTATTTTATTTTAGTGAAAATAAATTTTAAATAAGAAAACTCAATTTTCTGGATTTATTTTAATCAGAGAGGCAAAAACTATTTTGTGGATTTATAAAATTTATTTTAATATCTGAAAATTGTATTTAAAGTATTGGGAGACAATTGGGGTTCACTGGGCCTACCAATCATTGGGACGTGGGGTCCACAAGGCCACATATAGGATGGAGCACCCCACCTAGTTTTTCTTCTTTCCTAAAATGTTAGGCTTGTGTAATAAGCCATCTTTTGATTTGAATTTTTTAGGAAAGTATGGTGTAGAGATTTTAATTGATTTCAAAAAGGGAAGTGTAAGAAATTAATTGAAATTGATTTAGTATTTCCTGTACATAATATTTGATGGGAATAGAATTATAAAAACTGAGAGATAAAGGTTCCACCTCATTCCTTTAATCATGATGGCTGATTTAAGGAATGAATGGATGAGATCTTTGTTGGCTATGTGGCCTTTCAAGGCCTTAATGCCAATAGTCTTACACTCAGTGGGAGTTACAGAGAGATTGAATTTGGATGCTTAGCGCACTGGGGCCCAGATTCATATACCCCGAGTATTTGAGGCATAGAGAGTACCCATTTTGAGAGTGTGAACTCTCGGGGAGGTGTGAGGGTTACCTCCCAATCAGGACTATATTGATTAGAATGCCTCATAGTTAATGTGATAAGGTAGGCTTGGAGAATCCAATCGAAAATAATAGAACCCGAGTATTTAAGAGAGTATTCATCCTGTATGGAATGGTCGGCTCATGGGACATGAGCCCGTATCCTGACACGAGACCGTTCCATGGCATGTGCACCCGCAATCGTATAGGGAAGCCACTCTTCTATAGTATTATCCGACTTAGAAGAGCTATTGCGTATGTGCTTTGAGAGGACCCCTGTATTTGAGTAGGAACATGTCCCACAGGAGTGCACCAGTAATCCATTGAACCCCCGGTGACAGGAAGCTCTGGCTTAGCGACTTTGATGTGACCAATTATGTGTCTCTGCCAATAATTGTGAAGCATAGGTCCATTGGGTTGGCTTGAGACACTAGTGGAACGTCATTCCAGTTAACCCAATGGAAGACTCTGACTATTATTATAAGTCTAGAGATCTCATTTACCTTTGGCCCAAATTTATCTAAAATTGATGAGAAAATATTTTATATTGATGAGAAATTGTGTAATAATGTTGATAAATCATTTAGAGAATTTTTTGGATTTTTGAAGAATTTTTCAGATTTTTTTAAACAATAAAAATATGATTTTCAAATTTGTTTGACATAAATACCAAACAAGGACATTCTATGGGTATGCCACATGGATCCCAAGTGGCCATAGGGATGCCATGTGGCACCCCCACCTCCCTACTCGTAGATGACATCATGCTGATGTCATATCCATGTGGGGACCTATTTGTCATTAATTCTTTTGTTGGTATTATGTTATAACATGTTATCTTGTTATTTAAAGTGTTATATATTGTTATAACTTAAGTTTGATATAAGTCGCATGTTTTGTTTTGCTCATATGTGCCATTTTTTGGTATTTGTGAAGTCATGGGATTTTGAGAATTAATTTAATTCATATTATTATCCACATATGATTTTGTAGCATGTAGGTATATCTTATGTGGCACCACCTTATGGGCTTGACCCATGTGAAACTTTAGTGTTACTAAAATCTTATTGGTGGTGTCATAAGATATTTTATTCACATGTGAGGATGTCCCATATTACTTTTATATTCATGTCCTTGTCTTTTATTGAATCTCACAAATTATTCAAAAACCATGGGCATAAGTGTAAACATGAATTTGGAGTTAATGGGAAATACAACATGGAGCTAAGGGCTTCAAGGTAAAATGACTATAAACCTAGGTTTTAAGGAGTGAAGGGTGTCAAAAGCTCATCCATTGATCTTGCTAATAAGATATGGATGAGTGGCTTAGATAAAAGCCTCTCATGTGCCATTGATCTAAGGCATCAAGGATCAAGATCAAATCCATTTTTATGATCTAACTATAAAAGTAGCTTATGGGATCAATTATAACCCTAACTTGAGTATTCACTTCAAAGAGAGAGAGAGAGAGCCCTTGAGAAAAATGTGGTCACCCATGAGACCATCTTCCTTGAGCTTTCATTTGAAACCCTTCTATGGAGTAGTCCCTCATTTATGTGATCAAGCCCATACTATTGCTTCATTAAGGTATTGACTTTTCTTCTCATATTTTTAATTCCTACCTCATTTTCATTATCAAAGCTTGCTGTAATTCTTAGTTTACAATATAGCTTTCTTCTTTTTTCGTCATGAAAACTTGATATTTGAAGAGTCTCAAAGCAATAGTGTAGTCCATACACATAGTATGTGTAGACTAGCTTGCTTACTCTATGATCTTGAGTAATTTCAACTTGGTTTTCTTGATCTTATTTTTCTAAAATTTTTACAGAGAATATACAACTGATAACAGGTTTATTTCATCATATTTGAGCATAAGAAATAGTCCCTTGAGTTCCCTTTATAATGTTGAAAAGTTCATGTGCTCCCTTATGGACCACATGGTGTAGTTTTACCATAACTTCTTTATTTTGTGTAGTATCTCTCTCAAACTTTGAAGGCCCATTTTGATACATGTCTCTCATGATTTGATCCCCATTAAGTGAAATAAATGTGATCATTTGCTTTCCATTGGATTGATCTCCGTAAGTTATTATTATCACCCGTGCCTTAGACAATGGGACAAAATTAAGTCATCAAAAGGCCCTTTTGTGGCCAGGGCACAAGGAGTTCGAACAATGGTTTCCCCATGTATGTTTGCATGTTAATTCGATGTCGTTACAGTTATTAAATGGATTCATGATTGGTTAAATTGAGTATGTTGTGTGAATATTGAGATTGTTTTTTAATCGTGCGGTATGAGCTTTAATGCTATGCATTATTGTTTATGCGAATTGAAATCTTATTGAATTATTATGATAAAGTGTATGATGTGTATGAGATATTATGATATATGATGAGGATGAAGAATGAAGATGAAATTATCATATAATTTTGATACAATGAGGAATTGCGAGTGCAAGTCATGCAATGTTGTAGAGATGTAAAATGTGAATATTTGAATATTGTATTCAGTTTAATTGTATTTTCGAGTAGGAGAATTGTAAGGGACCTATTAGGGTTGAATTTTATTATTCAAATATGTATAAACCATGTTTGTAGGCTGAAATATATGTATTATGGTTTTGTATTGAGATACTCATGCATTTAAACCCTTGAGGTTTTATACAATGAAAAATTTTTAAAAGATTGCATTTCTAGCCCATTGGTCTTATACCACCAACAATATCTTCACCCCATAGGTCTCCAATATCAAAGGTCAAGATTATGTCTCATAATGATGGAGAAACCCTAGTCTTTATGTTATATAAACTAGCTATGGAGGTTCATTCTCTACACCTCATAACTTTAACTCTCTCTTTCTCAGAGCCAAAGGGGTGGCACGTCCCTCTCTGATCTCTCTCTTCTTCTCTCTCTAAAATTAGGGTTTAGAAAAAAAATAAACCTAAAAGGGTTGCACGCCCAAGCCACAAAGCCTAACTATAGGTCTTGGTCATATGCTCATGTGTTGAGCTTTGGTCTAGTTCATCCCATGTCATGCTCTCTACTGATTTTGCTTAAGCTTCCCAAGTTGTAAGATAAGTTCTTGAACCTAGATCCCGTGCGCCATTGGTGGAGGAGACCCTGTGTGGGGCATACGAAGTCTCTGGAAGTAACTTTAAGCAAGGTATGCGGTATTTTCCTATTTCATTCTTTCGTGATTCAATTGTATCTTTTATATAATTTTCATATACATGTTATGAATGTAATTTTCTTTTTGTTGGCAAGTGAGAATCTTCGGCATTCTTGTGTTTTTTTTATATGACTCATATATTGTATAGGACACTGTAAGTGAGCCAGATGGTAATACATAAGAAAAGATAATAAAATTTTAATCGGTATTGCCTTGCCCGGTCACATTGTCCTTTCAATTAAAATGAGACATAATAGTGCCGATCAACCAAGGTGAAAGGGATGCACATAGAAAACAAGGCCTCATAAATATGGACTTTTACCATGCAATTCAGTGGATAATGGGTTCCTCAACATATATTCCCTGGCCAATAATAAATAAAGCAGCACAAACATATACTATTTCCAAGCATTTCAACATGCACAAAAATGTTAGAAGTTTGAGAATGCCATGTATTGAGTAGTGGGAATAGATTATCTTAACCATATGGATGCCATGAGATCCAAACCTGAGTAAATATCTTTGGATCACACAAAAACAATGCACAGTCCAAGAGAACAACAGATTCACATGTCAACTACAAATAGATATACCTTACATCAAACATACAAAATGCAACAAACAGACTTGAATTTCCAGCAAAGTTGATACAAAGAACAAAGACGCTTTGCTGGCAGGTCAAATGGCGTCCAAAAGATGGTAAGAACCATTTTCTAACACAACAGTATCTACATTAATGGGTTTTCATTAGCCAGAAGCAATTTACCAATACTCAAATCAAAATACATTAACTGAGCAAAATATGAAAAGACAACAAAACAGTTTGCCTTGTGGAAAGGAACTAAAGAAGATATGGTAAAGGAATGGGAAATCGTAAACGAACATTATAAGACAGTTTCATGTGGTAGAAAATCACCAAAAAGAAAGGAAGAAAAGAGGAGAAGGGGCAGGGGGGGAATCGATGGAAGATTAGCACTTACTTTGGGGAAGTGAACATCAAGAATGGCACCATTGTATATAGCTAGACCAAAGATTATACCGACCTGTGTATAATCAACAATGAGATTTATAAATGGATGTAGTTATCCACATTTCATTGAAGTTATTTCACACTATTCAGACTCTCAAAAAACAGGAGAATTCTCTCACCAGCCAAAATTCATGCTCAGAATCAATTGAATTGGGATTAAACCAAAAATTCCTCGTTTCTTCATTATAAGTAAACATTCCTGCATTTTCATGAAAAAAGCATGTCATTTGGGACTATAACATGGAGAAGAAAAAAAACACCACATTGCAAGTGCCAGAGAACCTAGAGGGAGAAAATAGAAAAGAGAAACAAGACAGAGAAAACAGAGAGATGAAAGAAACACGAGAGAGAGAGAGAGAGATGAGAGATGTGAGAGAAGGAAGAGAGTGCTGTCAAGTCTTGCACCTTACACACCTCTTAAACTAATATATATTATTAAAAACATATGAAAGGACAAAAGAGGCCACACAAATTAACAAAGGATGCTTAGGTCCTAGAGCTTAAATAACAAAGGACTTTTAATACTCCCCCTCAAGCTGAAGCATAAATATCGCCCATGCCCAACTTGGAACAGAGAGTTTAAAACATATTATGACCAAGGTCTTTGGTGAAGATGTCTGCAAGCAGATCTTTAGATTTTGCATATCGAGTAGACACCTACTTACTAGAAACTTTCTCTCCGATAAAATGACAGTCTACTTCAACATGCTTGGTCCTTTCATGAAACACTGAATTACTTGTTATATAGGTGGCAGTTTTATTATCGCAATACATCTCTACATGTTCAGTAACAACAAACCCCATCTCTTGCATCTGTGCTTTCAGCCACATCAATTCACAAGTAGTATGCTTACCCAAGAAAAATTCACATGTAGTATGTGCCATTGCTCTATATTCAAACTCTGCACTAGATCTAGCCCAAAACATTTTGTTTCTTGCTTCTCCCCTTTACCACATTTCCACCAATAAATGTACAACAACTTGTACTAGACCACCTGTCAAATGGTGAACCGGCCCAATCAACATCTGAGTAACTATCAATCCGAAATGATTATTTGGGTAAATTAGACCTTGACCTGGATCTCCTTTCAGATATTTTTAAAATCATACGAACAACATCCCAACAAGGAATCCTCATAGGATGCATAAACCAACTCACAACATTTATGCAAAAGCAATATCAGGCTTGGTAATGGTCATATAAATCAACCAATAATGTGTATCCCTTGGCAATACCCGTAGCAAGGAATCAATAGCAGTAGTCAATGCCTTTTTTTGTATCCCTTGGCTACCATTCTGGCTTTTACTATTTCTACAAACGCCATCAAGTTGATATTTGACTGCATAAACCAATCGACCCCAAGAGTCCTTTATCCAGTTGGTAACTCGATGAGTTCCCGTGTATCATTTGAAAGAAATGCATCCATCTCTTCTTCTGAGTTCCCTGTATCACTTTAATAAAGTGCATCTACTTTTTCTTCCATTGCTCTCCTCCAGTAACTATGAGAAAGCGCATGTTGATGAGTCTTAGGAATAGAAGTAAATGAAAAAGCTAAAGCAAAACTTCGATATGATGAAGACAATTTTGTAAAGGTAACAAAATGTATAGTCGAACGTTGAGTACAAGACCTGATACCTTTACGGATAGCAATAGGTCACATCATCATTAGAAGGACGTTGATTAAGAGACGAAGGTGATGATTGAGTGGCTGGCTGAGTTGGTAGGAGATGTCCACCCTATGCTTTTCATATGGTGTAAATCTTTATAGGCTGCTCTAGAGAAACATCATTACGTGTAAATGTACTAGATTCAATGGAGTCAGGTAACTGTGGTGAAGAAGAAGTATCAATAAAAATAAGGACAGGAATCATAGAAGGTAAGGACTATGAAACTTCTTTAAAAGTAGGACAAAATATTTGTATCAAGCACACAAGACTCTTCTGAAGAATAAGGAGCATTCATAAAAGAAGTAACATCAGCCCAAACAAATTTCTTTTGCAAACTAGGATGCTAACAATGGTAACCTTTCTGGCAACGTGAAGACCCAAGAAAGACACACTTGACAGCTTAGGATTGATCTAGCTTATCATTATCAGTACCTGAAATATGAACAAAATACACACAGCCAAACACTTGAGGAGGAATAACAGATAGTGAAGCATCAGGAAAGAGAATTGAGTGTGATGGTTTCCTATTTAAGACTAAAAAGGGAATATAATGGAAAAAGACGTATACCCCCCTCTTTAAAACTATTATCCCAGATGACCCCCTGGTCCCACAAAAAGCCCATGGAAGCCCCCAAGTTAATCAAACAAGGACGTTTAACTCCCTATTTACCTTTTTCATCGTCCAAATTACAAACTTTACCATAAAAATCGAGTTTGTGATGCCTCTTTTAACTTACTTGTGAGGTTCACAAGATGAGAGAGAGAGAGAGAGAGAGAGAGAGATAAGTATTCAGGGAAGGTTGCTACAGAGAGGAAGGAAGAGGCCCACAGGTGAGGAAGACAAAGAAAGAGAATGAGAGCTTCTTCATGATTTAGATAACAGGGTGATTAAGAAAAAAAAAGGGTAAATTCTATAATTTGGGCAATAGAAAAGGCAAGGAGGGGGTTAAACATCCATTTTTGTTAAACGTGGGTGGTTCCATAAGATATTTATAGGACTAGGGGGTTATTTAGGATTATAATTTTAGAGGGGGGTTTATGTCTTATTCCCTTTAATTAAATAGCATGTGGCCAGCAATGCATCTCCCCAATAAATCTTTGGAGTATGCATATTAATGAGCAGAGAACGAGCTACTTCAAGTACGTGTTGATTTTTCATTTCAGCAACTCATTCTGCTGAACAGTAAGTGCACACTCCCATTGAATTGAATTTGGACTATTTGTGAAACAATTTAAAATGGAGAAAATCTCATATCTTTCTTTTATTAAATATAACCACGTCATTCATGAGTAATCATCCACAAAAGTTACAAAGTACATAGACCAGACAAACTCTGTACTCTAGTCATTCATGGATAATCATCGACAAAATTTACAAAATACATAGACCATACAAGCTTCGTACTCTAGTTGGACCTCGTATATTAGAATGAACCACTGCAAACGAAACAAGTCTTTGTTTATCAACTCTAGGACAAAATGACACCATATGATGCTTTCATAATTGACAAGATTCACACTCTAAAGTAGACAGATTCCAAAGAAGGGACTAATAACTTCAAGTTATTGAGAGAAGGATGACCTAGCCAACAATGCCATAAGAAAGGAGAATCAATAGAATGAAAAGCAGCACCAATCAAGCTATGATCAGTAGTACAGGCTGCCTGACTCATACTTGCCACCAATCGTTCTCTTCTTCTTCAGATCTTGAAAGACACAAAAAGAAGGATAGAAGGTTCTAGAGCAATGAAGAGATTTGGCTAATGTTCTTACAGATAATAAACTGAAAGGGAACCTCGGAACGTATGACAGAGAAAGGGAAGAAGTAGGTATATCTATACCTTGCCCAGACACACTGGTTATCGATCGATCAGCCAAGGTAACAAAGGAATTAGGTATACACGTATTTAAAGATAGAAAAACAAAGGACTCACTAATCATGTGATTAGAGGATCTTGAGTCAATACCCTATGGAGGAAGTTTCTAAGAGGCAAGAAGCATAAAAGTACCTGTATTGACAAGCATGGTAGTAGAAGAGGAAGAGGGAACCATTGACTGTTGTACTTGTTTGACAAGTTTATTATATTCTTATTTGGAAAGCACAAGAAAGTCACCAGCAGAATCCGCCTATTGTTGATGATAACTGGGTCCATTCAGATAAAGGGCATCACTCTCAAATGTGTAAGTAACCTCATTTTCCCAGGCAGGCTTACCAACCTTACCCCAACACTTATGAACCATATGATTTTGTACGCCCACAATGCGTACACTTGTGAGTTCCTCGACCCTGCCCCCATCACCTCTACCTTGACCACTTACTGACTCATGACCACATCCCAGACCTCTGCCTCCATCTCCTCTCCCTACAACTGTATTCAATGCCAATCCATTATTAGTACTTGAGTCGGAAGGAGTGGGAGAAGAAGATATGTCAACACATTGAATGCACACGGAAACACTAATGACAGATGGGAGTTCACTGCTTTCCAAGATCCGTCCACATACAGAACGGTACTAAGGATTAAGGCCAGATAAAAATTTGGTAACCCTATATTCTTCAAGCTGCCTCTTTTGTAATTCCACATCAACTGATATAGGTTGATATCGGTCCAATCTTCCCATATTACCCCTAAGAGTACTATAATACTCATTCACACTCTTATTAACCTGTTGCAATTGAAACGTTTTCTCAAACAACTCTTACACTCAGAGATAATTTTTATCCGATGAAAATTCTCTTTCAAGGTCCCCCAAATTCTTTTAGCAATCAAGAAACACCACAATGGCACTTATTCGGGGTTCCATACTACACAACCAGGTCATGGTTATGCAATTTTCCCTCGTGCACTCTCTCCATATCTCCCATCCGATTTATTAAGCTTGTCCTCAATCAAGTATTTTTAGTTTTCCCCTCGCACCAAGGGATATTTTGACACCTTGAGCCCATAGAACATAATTGGACTCATTTAATTTTATTGAGGTTATTTGTATCCCCACAGGTTAGGAAGGGTAAGGATTCCAGGTTTAATTTCCCAATCCATGAGCATATAAGACAAAGGGGAGAGAGGACAACAACCAGGATCGCCAAATTGCATTCACTCACACAAGCCAAGTACAATGCTAGGAACCACTTAAAAGCATGGAGTCACTTTTCATTCAGGCATCAATGAACAAATATCCCTCCGCTATAACTCAAAGATGAACCGCAACAAACCTCCCACAGCTTCAGCCACACACTTCAAGAATTCGAACAACTATTCCTCCCGATCTTCCACATCCAAGAGAAGAAACTTTAGCAACACAAACATCAGTAGCACCTGCAGACCACCATACTGGCCTTGCACACCAAAAAAAAGGAAAACTAGGTACCCCTTGACGAGATGAGCATCAGCAAGGTTAAGTTTTCCCCACCTTCTCCTCCCTCCTTTCTTTTCGTAAGGAAAGGGGAAGATGAGAACATTTTAGATCTGCTCTAATACCATGTCAGAGAACCTAGTGAGAGAAAAAAGAAAGAGGAGGAAGAAGAGAGATACATAAGAGAGACATGTAAGAGAGAGAGATGAGAGATGTGTGAGAGGGAAGAGAGTGTTGTGAGGTCTTCTTGCACCTCACACATCCATCAAAGTTATATGTATTATTAAAAAAATATGAAGTTAAACTGCCCATTCAAATAACAAAGGATACTTTGGCCTTAAATAGCAAAGGAGTTTTCACAATAAGTAATGAATGCTAACATGCAAGGGAATAAATGCGTAACTTTCTCATTTCATCAATTATTCAAGTACAGGGCTTACTATCTACTCATTGTGAACAGAAAAGCATGTTATCTAGTTCTTGTGAGTGAAGGAACAAAACCCTGCAACCACTTTATATGCAACTCTACTTCTATGTGCCAAGATTAGTTTGTGAGAAACTGTTATGCACAACCATGCAACTACCCCTAATGGATAAACTAATAGATAACCAATAGAGTTTTATTTTATTTTATTGTGATTGGCAAGGGTTAATGCTAGGAGGAGAACTAAGGGGAAGGGTCTGCATCTTTAATGATGCAGAGAATGTCCTTCTGTTTGTTACTCTACTTAAAAGACTTATTCTAGAGCACCTATGTTTGAACAAGAAAATATGTATGTGTCATTTTGTACAGACTCAACATATCAGAATAAATCATAATTCAAAGGAAGCATGCAGCACCCAAATTAAAGCTAATAACTTGCATATGAAAAATTCATTCAAGGAATAGGAACAAAATTTCAAATGATCCCCAAAAGAGGGACAGATTTAAAAATATTCTATGCTTAATGATCACTTTATAGGAAATGTTGACTTTACAGGACCATTGTAAAGATAGAACATATGAGAGGAATAAAACATAATGAGGTCTTGTACACTAGAAAATGTGACCATCAATTGTTTGGAATGAAAAAGGTACCTCCCTCATGAGGTTATCACAACTTGAGAAAAATCTATATGCAATCCAGGCTTTAAGGCAAAACATAGGAGTCAAATGTGAGTAAGGTTGTGAGTTGGTACTATAATTAAAATTTGATATTGTTACACCTCATATTAACAATGACAAAAAGGCACCAACGAACAGTCCATTGATTGTGCATAAATTATTATCCCAGTAATCTATGTTGTCTCTAAACAGAAACTAAGGAATTTAATTGTTAATTGTACTATTACCAATAGCATAAATTAAAAAAAAAAAAGGATGAAGAGATTTTAGCTCTCTCATCGGAATAATGAAGAATACACATACATACTTGTCGACTTCTTTAGTGGCCAAAAGTATTTCAAACTACAACTGAACATGCATTCATCACTTTCATTTTAAAGATTCCTTTCAAAAAAACTAAACTATTTATTTGTCATGTGTATCACATTGAATAATATATAAAAATCCAACAACTAAATGAGGAAAAACTTGTCTCCAAAATTAAAAAATTTTATAAACTATGCATACATTATGCCATTAATCATCAGATCTACAAATGCGTACCATATGCGACATTAAAAAGATCATGAACTAAAATCTGGAAGAACTCTTTTCTTACACCTCCTTCATCAACCCCATCTTCTCCATCAAATATAACCTGAAAAGTAAGACCATGTGCCAGACAGCTCAGAATTATCACACAGTATAAACAAAGGACAACCTGAATCAACAAAAATTATCATATATTATTTAGTTCAAAACTTCATAGATTATTAATCTTACTCTAAGCTGAATTCTAAGAAGAAATCAAAGATAATGTATGGCTATATGCAAAACTGTCGTATAAGCATTAAATTACTCTAGGAATAAACTAGATAGTGTGGCCCACATATTCATGCGCTTCCAGGTGACAATGATCTAAGTACATAAATTACTGAGTTTTGAAACTCCAAACGATTATATAATTGAGACAACCAGAGAGAATTCCCTAAACTGATGCTTCATATGATCCAGACAAGAAAGTCTTTCTCAATTTCCACAACATAAGTAAAAGGTAACCTTTTGGAAGTGAATATCTACGACCCCAAAGACCTAAATTGCTCATGGCAGGTGAGAAAACATCGACATGCATGGAAATACCAATGAAATTTACAAATAGCATTTCAGAATCTAAAGAACAGAAGCTCCCTGCCCCTTCTGAAGATCGACCAACTTTAGTAATCCCATAGCCCAAAAATTGTGACAAACATGAAACAGATAAAAGGATCGAAGACTTAGAACCTTCAGAGGCTTCTTGAATTCATCAGGACATGAGCTGGACAATTGTTGGAGAGTGTCCGAAATCAGATCACTGCGGTGTACCTATGTATGAAGAGAAAGAAAAAATATTAGTCAACAGTTACCACAAAGAAAACAGAGAAATACCAAAGGAAAAGCCTTATCCGAAGCGTAAAGAGCAACCTTTAAAATAAGGAAAGGACTTGAAGAGGAATGCAAAACGGTATGTTGAAACACAGACTTCTGCACTGATAATTGCTTCTGTATATCGGCCTCTACCTGTAAAATAAAGAGCGATGATGTAAAAGCAGATCTTTTCTCACAAAACCATTATGATTTAATTTTAAGGGAAATATGAACGATCTTCCTATGAACTTCCAAATTATTTAGTTAAGATAACTCATATATACAACAGGACAATGGAAAATATGTTCTCAGGTGCTTGTAATGAAGTTTTTAGCATATAGATTAGTTGGAAACTTGCCAGTCCGCTTCCTCAACAACTACAGAAAAGGAAGATGCTTTAGGAAACACCACCAGGAACTATGCAAGGTAGATATAAATTAATTGCAATCAAGGTCACAGAAACTGTGACAAATGTATAAGATCAAATAGAAGCTGGGCTGATATGTAATGGTATCAGCTGACAAATGGTGCTTGGAATCAGAAAACAAATGTAAACTTTATGAAAGCATTATTAATTTCAAAGATAACAGATTAAAGGGTGATGATCAGAAAATATCAGACATAAATAACATAATAACCGATACAACAGTTGTCCCATTTTTTTTATTTATTGACATGTTAAAGAAACAGTAGAATTACAATGGATACAATGATGAATGTTGAAAAAAAAAAAAAAAAAAAGAAAATTGATGTAAGAAATTTGAAGAACAAAAAATCAGCAATATTTCAGGCCAACAAAAGCAATCTCTTGGAGAAACCTAAGGGTTCACCTACACAAAACCCTAATCAGGGTACACAATGCACAAAAGCTTTTTTCTTTTCAAAACAAGTTAGGGGAATTGCCTAAGACCCCCCACGTACATCTTTTCACTTCATTAAGTTGGGCATAATGTCCAACACAACCCTAGTCAGAATAAAATTGACCAAAAGCCCAAACATAAACACAAAATTCGTAATGGCAATTTTGCCCCTCATAAGACAAAATATTCCAAAAGCAATCTAACTAGTTTTATAGACATCTCCTAAAACCCTAAAACTATTAAAAAACCCAAAAATCCCAAAAAACATTAAAAACCTCAACAATAAACCCAAAGTGAAAGTTAAAATATATGTAAGAAGTGGCTATCTGGAATGCAAGGGACTAAAATAAAAAAATTTCTTTTTCTTTTATTAATCATTCTGAATTCCACTTACAAGTGCCCAATATGCTATTGTAAATCATCATCATCATACATTCTGCTCTATAAAGGGTCCTACCCTCAATGAGGCTATAAGTCTCCATATCGTTTCGGACTACTTCCAACCACATCCTTTTGGGCCTGAACCTTGCCTTTTTCGAGCTTTCTACTTGAACTAACTCGTATCTTCTAACAGGTGTTGTACTAGGTCTACGCCACGCATGGCCAGTCCACTAAGTCTACTCTCTCTCATCTTATCACCTATTAAGAAATAAAAACGCTAAATACAACCTACGACTTTTACTGCTAAATTGAATAGACATAGTCCATAAATGAAAAACAAGCTTCTACTAACAATCAAGTGCAAATAAGGTTCCTAAAAATTCAGAATAATAGGCAAATATGACTGAAAAATGAAACAAGCAGCCAGGAAGACTTACTTGAGTGTGCTTAGGGAAACATCCATAGGACTTAGCACACCTTGCATCCGATTTCCTGACCAATGGTGCACCCTGATCCTATTGGCCTTGCTAAATTTTCAGAGCCAGGATGCTGCCTTACGCAATACCTCACAAACTAGGGTTTCTTATGAAAACAGAAAATTATCAGGTTTCTAGGACCCTTTTAGAAACATTTAGGGCACACAAGGCACCTCCCTATTTATTAGGGCTAGGTATGCCTCCCTCTAAAAACCCTGACTAGGGTGGTGCATGCCAACCCATGTTCCTTATGAGGGTCGCGTGCCACCTAGAGAGAGAGAAGAGAGAAAACCAGCGAGATAAGAGAGAGAAGAGCGGGGCGTGGAGAGGAGAGAGTCAAGAGAAAGAGAGAGGGACCAGGAAATAGTTGAATGTCAGGGGCTTCATCTCCTTATATAGGCCTCAAGGACTCCTAGGTATACCTATCCAATTATGACTCACCAGGTGACCAAAAGGATTCTAAGAAATCTGTGAGGTGAGAGAGAAATATATCTGAGCCATCCATCCCTTGAATCAAATTAGGGAGGAATATTAGGAACCTTATCACCTGAATCTCTAGCCCATATCTACTTCTAATTAAACTAGGATAAGACCAATCTAAAAAACCTTTTAGAACTTCCATTTATTCTTTTAGAAATGTAGGAATCCAAAAGTTAAAGTTTTGGTTGACGAATATTTCAAATAAATTCCCACAAAATAAGGACAATCTTTACTTACAAGAAAACAAAATCTTAACTTAATGAAACACCTTTTACTTAAACAAGAAATAAACTAGAAAGGAAGGGACGGTGCCACCTCAAGCCACACGAATGCGAATGATGCATAATTCTTTCCGTATCGGAGAGTAGCTGATAAGACAACCACAATCAGAGATTAGATAGAAAGGATCAGGATCACAAGAGACAAGAAATGAGTAGAGGGGTGGACCCTCCATGGGCTCCACGCTCCACCCATGTGGTGTGGCACACACGTGGGACTAGATCCAAGCACCCCACATGTGCCTCCCCCCCCACACTGTCAAAATTTCAAAAATACCCTTTTTAATGACTTTACAACTGAAATTAATTTTAAAAAAATCTGAAAAAATATTCTAAAATTTACAAAAAATATTTCTAACAGTAAACATAAAATATCAATGAGTGAACTGGTACCAATAGCCCAAGATAAGTGACTATCAAGGCAGTCCACCCGACCGAGTAACTTCAATTCTCAACTACCTTATCAGACTGAGACAACCAGACCCATGACCCACAGTCTCATGCAAGGACTCATGATTGACTTGTCAAAATTAGCCAATAAATAGTAGAACTACAATCTCAGAATGTGGATTACAGGCTCCCCCCTTTAAGAGCAAGTCAAGCACATATCGCTATAGTGCAAGGGGATCTTTCTACTCATATATACAAGTACCCCGTTTCAAAATGCAGTTGTCTTGTGTACATATCGTGCGGCAGACTCTTCAACATTTAGTCCTCACTCTCACAGGCCTACATCCGCACAAAACAGACCACACAGCTCTCCTGGCCTACAAACTATCCCTGGGCATTTTTTCGGCCTCAACAAGGGATAACCTTCTATAAACCCTTTTCAACAGTGTCATATGCCTAGGGACAAGCATTTTGGATATGACCAAAACCATAGACCTCCTACCCTGGGTCAATCAACGAATATAGACACGCACAGAAGTGTATAATCCGCAATAAATGATATTTACATGCTCTCATGACCTTTAAAGGCCACAAACCCAACAATATACATCATTTGCAATTGAACAAAAATTTAAGATAAGAATAGTTTTGCCTTACATCATTCTCCTGATTGAAGACCCCGTCCTCAAGTTTTGAAGTAGGTTAAGATGAATCCAACATGAAAACCATCTTCTTCCACTTTCTTCTTCTTTGTATTCTCAAAGATTATCCATGGTAAGAAGAAATCCTCAAGAAACGGATCCCGTTATGTATATTGAGGAATCGATACAAATTTATCAAATTCAGCATCCTTGAACTCATATTCAAAATTATGTAGGACATTTCAAAATCAATTTTCTGGCCTTTAGAGGCTTTCTCGACATTTGCGGTTTATAAGTCAACCCTGCTTCCCAGCACTACTTTGATTCCAATGCCCTTAATCTGTTGAATACTCTACCTCCTCGATATCCTTGAGCTCTTCAAAGGCCACAACTTGATCACTCCCCTTGCTGTCGTCTCTCCATATTTTTCACGCGCAAGATCCACTTCCAAAACATCTTCTTCATCTTTATCCTTATCATAAGTTGGATCTCGTAAGCATCTTGTTGTTCATCTAAGCATGTACTGAAGATTGGTGACAAATCCCATCCTACAACCTGCTGATTTTGGACACAAACCTGCGTCAAAATCAAGACTGTCCTGCTTCAAATTGAAAAACCCTAGAGTGGTGCTCCCTACATCTAAATCAACTATCATTGTCCTATATACTCAACTCTTCACACAAAGCATGGCGGTGAAATGATTATTCCACATGTTTGTGGGCAGAAAGATCACCAACTTGCCCTAAGTGATGTCAACGATTTGTTGTGCAAGTTGTTGACTTTTCCTTCTAGGGCTCAAACCAGCAAACCCTAGACTTGGCTATAGAGTTGTTGAAAATTTTAATAACAAACCATAATGTTAAAAAAAAAAATTAAAAATAAAAAATAACAAAATAAAAATTAAATAGAACTAACATAACCAAAAGAAAATATAGTAATATAGTCACATTCACAAATCGCAAACTATAATTCAAAGTCAATATTGCATAGAACATACTTCATAGTCCATACCATCCTAGCCCACCAAACAAAAGACAAAAGAGGGAAAGGGAAAAAGAAAAAGAAAGAAAGAAATATAAACTTGAAGTCAAGAGTCTTCAGTCCACATTTCTTATCTTCAGTCCACATTTCTTGCAAGGGGCATGCGTTCTCAGATAAACACAAAACCAGCCCTTATTTCTACTATGCATGTCTCCTTTCTTTTTTTGCTTTACTAAATTCATATACTCTTTAATCTCCTCCCTAACAGCATCAGGAACATTTCTTACAAGGGGCAACATCCCCTTTAATACTGGCAATGTACTTCTTGAACCAGTTTATACCCCCATTGATATCTCTTTCAAAATAATTACAAGGCATATAATATTTACCCCTTGGATTCAGGTTGTAACCATACTTACAACTTGGATCACCACTTCTAGTAGAATGCAAAGAAGAGTTTGGTCATAAAAACACCCAACCCCCCCCTCTTTTCCCCCTTATTTGGGATGTAATTTTATTTTGAAAATGCCCCCACCCAAGGGGCATTTTCACCACTGGGAGGGCGTTGGGTATTTTTACCCCTAGCCAAGTGCAGCCCCTAGGCACAAGGACCCATGGCCTTCATCCATCTTCTAACTCCCCATTTATAAAGGTTGTCTTTACTTC